CTTAGGTGGTGTTGTTATTGCTGCTAAGCAGTGCTGATATTATCGCATTGCGGTGCTGATATTGTTGAATGCTGTGAGTGGTATAAGTTGTACTTGTGTGCTGATAGTTGTTTATCATATTACTATATATTTGTGTCTTGATTTTTAATTACACTAGCTTACCCTTTGTTGTTTCCATGATGTTTGGACTGCGATGATCATACTATGTATGGGAGCAGAGCAGGGATAGGTGGGTGACTAGTGGTGAGTCTTCAGCGGACCGACGAAGCTAATTTCTTTTGTGAACTGTTTTGTTGTTGAGCTACTTGGGATAGTAGCAATATATATATATATATATATATATATATATATATATTGCAATAACCTATTAACTTAATCTATGTAACATTTTAATAAATGTAAGTGAACAAATGTTTATAAAATGTAGTGGTGATTGATATGATATTGATGAATTAATTGTTTTGTATTGTTTGTTAAAGATATGTTTTTCCAAGAGAAATATGATATCTTATTATTCATCGAAAATTCACACACGTCTTAAAATTAATTTGATATTCACTTTGAACTTAAACTCTTGTAAATTTGTTTTAAATCATCACTTAAAAAAATTTCATAACAATAAAAATTTTGTGTATGCTTATAAATGTTGATCTTTTTATTTTAACAATTTGAGATTTTATTTGTATTTCAAGATGAGCCATCTAAAAAATATTATATATTCTTGCTTATAACTAGGTATGATTTGATTAGATTTAGATAATAATTTTGATAATATTTAAGAATGAGGTATAAAAAGATGTAGAAACTAGAAAATGATCAAATGTACAAATAAGGCACCACTAGAGTGCCAAGGCATTATATATAGAGTTAATCACCTATATACTGCCAGTGTAAAAGTTTTTTATACGAGTGTTGGGGAAAGCTATATCACTCGAAAGTTGCACCTACTCGAAAGAAAGACAAACAAATTGGTACCTACCAAGAAAGTATTAGAAGCCCTAAATATACGAACTCGAGAATTGATCAAAAAACGTAAGAGATGGAAGGCTCTTTGATCAGTTAAGCAGTTACATTAAGGCAGTTACCAAAACTTGGTTGAAGAAACAAAGAACGTGGAGGGAACGGTTGTGAGAAGTTATATGGATTCCACGAAATCAGCATAGTGGGCAGCGGTTACACACCCATGACTCATCTATACAGGATTAATCGCTCTCAAGTAAAATCTATAAATATGGGAATCATGCCCCCTCAGAAGAGGTCGGAAACACCATACTTGAAACTCTCAAGTACTCACTGCCTGCGCATATGGCTTTCGTGCATGGAATTGCTTCTAGGTATGATCATTTCTCGGTCACATTTCTTTTCTCTTTTTAAGATTAGGATTAGTGTAGTTTTCTTTTCTTCTTTTAATCACGTAGTAATATAGCTTTAATATTGTAACTCTTGAATGTTATGTGAAGTGAACCATGATTTGTATTGCAAATATATGTATCGTTCATTCGGTTTATTTGAGGATTTATATGCATGAACATTATTGTTTGTTAATCATTGACGAATATTTAGAAACGAGTAGTTATTGAATCTTTCTACTCCATCTCTTGTTCTTCATAAAAGCGTCAAATACCTAAATTGAAACACTTCTTGTGCTAGTTCGAATAAAAAGAATCCATAAACTAATTTCACCGTAAATAACGGGCAATCAATCATATTTTTTAATAATGTCACGTCAGTTGCTTATTTAAATGAAATAAAAATAAAATAAAATAATTTAAAACATTTGATTGAGTATAAAAACTTTATACTGATAGTGTATGATGATTAGCTCTTTTATATATATATATATATTATTTTTCGATTAGAGAACTAAATTTTAATGCGTCTCGTCCACAACAGATATTGATCCCCCATTATAGACAAGGTATCGGTTATCTCCGGCTGTTCCGGGCATGGGGAATATCTGACTGACCTACTCAATTCTCAATTTTTTTTTTCAAATAACTTGACAAACTTTTTTATTTCACTTGGTCCATTTTAATTAAGTTTAAAACGTTAACTTTAATTTTGGTTACTAATTCTATTTGGACAGTGTTTTCTATAAATATTTTGAAAAGAAACGATAAAATAAATTGAGCTCCTCATATAAGGTATAACATTAACTTATATACTTAACTTTATATAAACTCTTTCCTATTTAATTTTTTTTCAAAAACTAAAATACATAGGTTGATTTTAAATTATGGAGAATTTAAATGCAATTTTATTTTATACAAACACTCCTATTAATCTTGAATAAAACATAATAGAAATTCTAGGCTCCCACATTCACATCGAGATGATACTCAACACCTACTTTTAGGTCAATTACCCTCAGTTTTAGCATATCTATGATCTATCTGCTTCTCACCTCATATATGTTGTTACTATATGAAGAATTACCATCCAAGTGTGAGCTTCCTCCTTTAAACTACTAAACTAACTGAGGTTACTATGCAAATGTGTATAACCGAACATAACAGCATTAACCTTAAATCAAACTTGATGGAGTTAGTAACAGAAAAAAGTATGATAGAAATGGAGTTATTTTCTACTTCCTACGTACATGGGGAAATGTAGAGTGTAGAGTTAGTAAATAGGGACATACTAAGAGGAAGCACCTAGAAGAACGAAAGTATGATATTGATTTGCAGCATGCTCTAGGACCGCAAAAGAAGTGTAGAAAAGGGAATGGAAGTAGTATGGTGGGGTCGAAGGAATGGGAAGATAGCTAAAGAGAAAGTTGATTGTGTGGTAGTAACACGTGATTCCACTTAGGCTTAGGGTATGGCATCCCGTTCCCATCGCAGGGTGGGTTGCTTCCAAATTCTGAATTTTGTGATAACCACAGTAACACGTGGCACTTCCATCTTGTTCCAACCTGTGCTGTCTGTGAGGACCACCCTCATAACATTCCCTTCTCTCCGTGAATTTGTCACTCTGATGCTTAGCATCCGCATCTTCCCCAACATGCAAACCGTAATGTGCGCCCATTGCCCCCCTCAACACATTTCTTTTACTTCTAAGTTAACTCAATATCAATACATTTATAATTTATAATAATCTCATAATTCTACATGTTGCTGATAAAATTCTGTCTATTGATCTAGGGTATGCACAGTGAAACTTATGTAATGGCAAGTGCACGGTTAGTTGAACGTTCATAAAAATCACATCAATTTTGATGAAAAATAATTAATATAGTTGCATCAGCAGATTCACCTCCCTTGATACCAGATGTATTACCAAACACATTATTCGCAATAACAATGAATCACGTGGTTCCAAGCAAACTTTATTAGCTGGATGAATCCTAGAGTCTTCAAGGACATAACCAAATCAATGTCTCCAATTTGAGTTATTCTAATAATATTATCATAAGTATGTCTATATAAATACCAAATTAAAAATGAAAATAATATAATTTTTGTCGATAGTAATCTCATTCTGCTCAATCCTTATCAGTCAAATGTAAATATAATGTTTGGTTATCGGTACACCTAGACTTAAAAACAAAAAGAGATGATAAAACCTATGATATATTTATCTTATATTCAGTATTTGAAATGAAATAAGAAACCTTAGTAAAAAAATATGAAGTTGATATTTGAAAAAGAAAATTTTAACATAAAAATTAAAAAAAAAAAATTTAAGTAACATAAAAATAAATATTAAATATTAATGGCATTGCTTGTCATTTGGAAAAGGCGAGTACAATAGAAATATTTTGTCACATTTATGAAATAAGCCTTAGATTTATCAAAAAAAGATTGAGTTTCATTCATTGTTAATCGGTAAATTAATGACATAGAATTAACTTAAATAATTTTTATTCTCTAAATAATTCATGATTTTTTTATTCTCTAAACATCTAGTGGTTGAGAGGTTAAGATAGTTACATGAAAAGTTCCATCCTTATTATCATCATTTTAATCCTTCTTAATGATAAGAAGTAAAAAATAAAAAAAGAATTAATGATTTTTCTACTTGATTCTTTAATTTATATATTTTTTTTAAAATAAGTCATTCTTAAAAAAATTCTAGAAAACTTGTCATATTTAAGAAAAATAAATAAATAAATAAGAGAGCATTTAGTAACAAAATGATTTGTCAGACTCAAAAAATGTGGAACAAAATAATAAAAAATCATAAATTTTTAGAGATAAAAAACTTAATTAAACCAATAAAAATTCAACTTATTTTCATCTTACATGGTAAATTAAAAAATATAAACTAGTTATTTCATTTTGCAAATTGATCCATTTTTTTTAATACAATTTGTTATTTTCATTTTCAATTCTCCATTTTTCACTTACGTGGTCGGGGGTGTTCATGTTTTATCGCAGTCGAATGTTCGTTTTTTATAAAGTAAAAAGACCACACCAGTTCACAACCTCTTTCTCTATTCGACCTCGGCCACAAGCCAATAACGAAGCAAGAAAACCTGCGACACCGTCACGCCCGCAACGCACTAACGTTGATGCTTAATTTGGTGTCCAAGCTTACTGATACGAATTGCACGTCAGTTCAGCTTTGAATGACCCATGGCTTGCATCCTGCAGGATCTGCTGAGGGAATTCTTAAGAAACACTTCGTTGATGCTCTAAACAGTATATCCAAGGAAAAATTACAAGTCTTGTGATAAATAAATCAAAACTTTAATCATCAATAAATTACCCATTAAAATTCAATGTACGACATTGCCTATGCAATAACTCTTTGCATTCAGAGTATTGAGTTTCCCCATATGCCATTCAATTTCAGCTCGTAAATGTCTGTTTATTGGATACTTTCGAAAGTTCATATGCTGCATCAAGCTACTTGTGAATTGTGATATTTCCAAGCAGTATTTGCGTTTTCGTTTCCTTTCTCAACGTTAGGAAGGACCATTTTCCTTGAATATAATTTAATAACTCCACTAAACAAATAAATTCATCGCTACATAGGGGGGATCAAAGATTTTAGGCATGGTCACATCTGTCATCCGTACACTTAATGCTTCACAATTTAAAGCAAATAAAATGCTAACATGATCAATAAAAGCGAAGGCATAGAGCTACAAGAAAAATAAATGCTAGAGTAATAAATTCAAGCATGTTCAAAGGAGAAAACAATGTTGTGTTTGAAGCTATCCTCCTCCCCCCAAGTTAGGAGAAAAATAAAACGGTAACAATTAAAACTTTTACTTCCGCAAGATAGCATTTAGCATAAGTCTGGAAAAATTGGGACAACTACGGGGTTAATTAGGGGTGATCAAAATAACTGGTTATAAAAAAAAATAACTATAATCATAATTAACCAGTTAATCCAAGTGAATTTTGACTTCCAAGTTATAGGTCCCTTCAGCAAACTCCAGTCTATAACATGAACGGCCATGATAGAATTCTGAAACTAGACCCAAACAAGAGGAGGGGGAACTATCATTATAAATGAAATTAATGTACCAATTGGAATAGAAATCCCTGCAGTTCAGTCACCCTGAGGTAATTTAATTCACTCTTCTTTCAGCTCTCGTGAAATGGTCTTCTCTGGTTCGCTTTCCCTTCCTTTCTTATGGTAACTAGGCCTGTTGGCACGTTTGTTAGTCTTGTTGGACTAAGCTTACCGTGGGAAATAGCTTTTCCCTTTCAACAACTTCTCGGCATGTATTTTTCTGAGATTGCTCTCCTTTTTCATCCTGCCTGTGCAGGACATCAGAACTGCTCCGGTGTATCACTGATGAGACCAATACCCGTCATTTCAGATTGCTTAGCTGTCTGAAGCTGTCAAAGGATAAGGACAATCAATTATAATTTATAAATATTTGTATTTAGGTGAAAAAAAAGGGACTAAATCATCCTCCCACACACATTATACTGAAAAATGTAGGGGCTGCTATATATATATATATATATATATATATATATATATAAATAAATAAAAACTAACTTCATGGCAAGGCAATAAGACCTCCACAAGAGGCAAATTCTAGATACAACATCCAAAACCAAACACTCAGACACTTTTGACAAAAAAAAAAAGGAAACCAGAAAGAGTTCACATAAACAAATATGAGCACTAAGGTGAAGAAAACAAATAAAAAAATAACAAATGGTTACTCGCATACAAGGGCTTAATATCCAAAATGAACAAGGCTGTATGGTGATAAATTGAATAAAAATATCTAGCAAATTGGGAGGATGGAACTTATCTGTGGTATGAGGGTTCATTGACATTGGGGCAAAGGAAGCCAACAATGCTCTAGCAAAAACAGAGACAGGAAAATAAATGGATGATAACCACAAAAGAAATGATTTAGATATTCAAGAATACAAGGTTTTGTTTGTTTTTAAAAAATCAATTTAATATTTTCTAAAATTTGTTTGTCTCTTGACTCTTGAACATATTTGAAAATGTTTGCCCCCTGAGCCCATTTCTTTTTTCTAAAAATTTGTCACCTGACTACTTGAATAACACTTTTTTATGGTGTACCACTTGAACAACACATTTGAAGAAAATAGAAAAAAAAAGAAAAAAAAAGAGAGAGAGAGAGAGAGAGAGAGAACAACACTCCCAACTTTTGTTTTTTGGTTTCTAAAGCACTTCTTTTAGAAACAATTTTCAAAACCTTAATAGATTTTGGGTGAGAAGTTGATTACCAAGAGGTGCAAAATTGTTTTTAAAGAAAAAAAGTGAAAAGGGAATCAAACAAGCCCCAAATATTCCTTGATTTATCACACAATGTGAAAATGATGTGCTCAAAATTAATGTGGTAAAGTTTTTAGGATTTTTTTATTGCAAACCCTAGCTTTAATTGACCCATTACTCTAAGTCCAAAGGTTATTTAGTGTTGGAAACTCACCTTAATTGTGGTTACCCCTAGATTACAAGTGTCCTGAAAAGAGCTACCTACAAAGGGTCTAACCAGAAAAGTTGAGTGAAGCATTGTAGTGTGGAGCCACCAAAATGTATGCTCTTAGCAGGTTGAGATCCCACGTTGATTAGAAATATATTCAATGTAATTCTCATAAGGCATGGAAATCCTTAGTCAATTTTATAGAGTTGAGTAAGTCTCTAAGTTTCATTTATAAGATAGTATCAAAGTCTATCCTAAATTTATTGTTAGGTCACCTATGTTGCCACACTCTATGCCCATAGCCCAAGGCGCAAGGCAATGCGTTGAAAAGTCGCCTTAATTGCAGTTATTGCTAACTTGCTAGTGTCTCAAAAAAGGCTATCTATAGAAGGGTTGACCAAAAGGGTTGAGCGAAGCATTGTAGGATGGAGCCACTAGAACATCGGCTTTAAGTGGGTTAAGATTCCACATCAATTAGAGATATGACCAATGTAGTCCTTTTGAGAAATTCTCACCTTACAACCTAGTTTTGTGAAGTTAAGTTAGACCCTAAGTGCAATTTCTAAAAGTAAGTCCTAAAAAATCTAGCATGCCCCCTACCATTGAGTCATGGAACTCCTTAAGTATAAAAGAAATTCTAGAAGAAATGGAAACCATAATCCTTCCCTTCTAATAGACCCTCCCTCCTTTAAAGTGAAATCTTGGATGAGAATTTGGTTGCAGCAATAGGTCTTGAATTATTCCCCTCAAATTGTCGTTAGCTTGGACCTCTAATTCTAGCTCCTCCCACTCTTGAATGGATTGTAAACAATGTCAAATACTATAGTTTCCTAGAGAAAGCAGCACAAACTCCTTTTTCCTTTCCAAGTTTATATTTGATTACAAAATCAAATCCCAATAGTTTAGAAACCCATTTATGTTGTTCTTCACCCGTAAGTCTATGATTTTCCAAGAATCTAAAACTTTTCTAGTCTATGTGCACTTTAAAATGACCACCAAAGTAATGCCTCCATTTTTGGATGGATAGAATAATTTCCATCTACACTCATTCATAAACCAACTTATTTTGGGCCCTTTCACATAAGTTTTCGTTCATGTATGCTACTGGTTGCTCATCCTACATAAGCATTGTACCCATACCTTTTCCTGATAGATCACTTTCAATAAAAAAGTTTCTCAAAGTTTGGGCTTGTTAATACTAGTAGTCAGTAGAGTTGTCGTGGCTTATTTGAGTTGTTCAAAGGATTCTTGAGTTTCACTTCCCCACTTGGAACTATACTTCTTCAGTTGTTGTGTAAAAGGTCATACAATTTTACCATAATTCTTTATGACTTTTCATTAATATCCAGTCAACTACAAGAATCCCCTTAATCCCTTCACATTAGCAGGGATGGGGCACTGAATCATGTCTTTAATCTTATTCAAGTCTGCTGAAACTCCTTTTCCCAAGATCAAATGAGCTAAATATTCTAGTTGACTCTAGCCAAAAACTGCACTTCTTGTTAGCAAACAACATATTTTCCCTTTAAACTTGTAACTATTGTGAGGATAGTTTTAGCTTTTGCATCAACACATCATTGGTATGTTCATCAACTTGATGTGAACAATGCCTTCTTACATGGCGAGTTACAAGAGACAATTTGCATGTTCATTCCTAAAGGTATATCAAATGTTCAGCCTCATAAAGTTTGCAAATTGTTAAAATAACTTTATGGTTTGAAACAAGCAAGTCAAAAATGGTTTGAGAGGCTCACTGCTTTACTAATTAAGTGTGGTTATTTACAAGAACACTCTGACCACTCACTGTTTGTTAAGAAAGCTGAGAGTTCCATCACTGTGCTTATTATATACATGGATGATATTGTTTTGACTGGTATCTCACTAGAAGAATTTTCTGCTCTAAAAACAGTCCTTCACAATGATTTTGGAATCAAAGATTTAGGTGTCCTCAAGTTCTTTATGGGGGTAGAAGTTGCTCATTTTGCTCAAGGAATTTCAATATGCCAAAAGCAATACTGTTTAGATTTATTAGCAAATTTTGGTATGTTGGGTTGCAAGCCAGTCAACACTCCATCAAAACCAGGAACTCATTTACATCAATGGCCCTTACAATGATGTGTCAGGATACCACACGCTGATTGGGCGATTGCTTTATCTTAGTACCACTTGGCTTGATATTTGCTTTGCAACACAACTTAGTCAATTTTTATCGTCCCCAACAGTGTTGCATTTTAAAGCTGCTCAACTAATCCTCAAATATTTAAAAGGTAGCCCAGGAGAAGGGATCCTATTCCCTTGAACAACTTCACTTCAAATTGTTGGATTTAGTGATGTCGATTGGGCAGCATGTCCTGATACACAACGTTCAATGAGTGGCTATTACTTCTTCCTTGGAGATTCGTTGGTTAGTTGGAAATCAAAGAAGCAAACAAGTTGCTTGCTCTTCTGCAGAGGCAGAATATTATCGTGTCCTTGCCACACCCTCTTGTGAATTTCAACAGCTTAAGTTCCTCCTTGATGATCTTCATGTCCACTGCTCCAAATAGGTTGTACTTTATCGTGACAACAACAGTGCAATTCAGATTGTAGCAAATCCTATCTTCCATGAGCACACAACACATTTAGACAATGATTGTCATGTTGTTCGAGAAAGTTGTTCCTCAGGATTCATGAAGCTGCCACCCCTTGCTTCCAATGCACAAATTGTTGACCTCTTCACTAAGGGACTCTTACCTAAACTCTTTTATCACTTCCTCTCCAAGTTGAGTATGGTATATATTTTTCAACCCTCAGCTTGAAGCGGGGTAATATTCCCTTTGCAATCCACGTATTGAATACTCTTCGGGTCTGTTAGTAGTGGTTGTGTTGGTCCGTAACCGACTTATGTTTTCCTTTCCAGCTGGTTATATTTTGTTTCTGAGCTTTGTATATAAACAAACCCTGTGGATGCAGAGTATTCCTAAGCTGAATAATCAATGTTTCATTTTGATTCCCTATCATTTCCACTGTGATATTTTTGTTCTATTAATCATTCCCACTTGATTGATACTCAACAAGGGACCCAAAGGATTCTAAACCAACCCATACACATCACCCCACTACTCCCAAGTAGGCAATTAGTTGGACTATTTTCTCTCCTAATTCTAATAAGGTGCATCGCACCTTTTCCCTCTCCTCACATACACCTTAGTTCTTTTATTAAGGATTCTATAAAAAAAACTTTTGGAAATATCGATGCAGATTGGTCTCTTATTGCAGTCACAGTTTGAATCTTATGGAAAGGTAGAAATTCTTTCTACTTTTCCCTTGATCATACCTGACAGTCTAAAAGATTTTATTTCTTTTCCTATTCTAAGATACATGAATTTCATTTCAGCTGACAACTCCAAGCCTCTGCCTTTGTTCATTGAGGAAAGTAGACATGACATCCTTGTTGCATGGGAAAATCCTCTCACAGTCTTCATGAAGCTTAACATGGATTGATCCTTTAAATATAAAATTGGGATGGCAGCCTGTAGAGGTTTGACTCCAAAACAGTTTTGGTGCATTTTTGAAGGGATTTCTGGGCAAACTTGGTGTTTGATTATTAGTCATGACAGAACTTTGGAGCTCATTGATGGGTTTGCATCTACCTTGGAGTTTGAATACTCATAATGTGCTGGTTGAAATGGATTCCCAAGTTACTGTCAACAAGGTTAATCAGAGGTTGTCGCAGAATGTGTTTTTCTAGCCTCTTGTGACACAAATTTGTTCCCCTTCGTCTGATCCCAGGTGGTCTATGCCTGAAACACATCTATATTAAAGCTAACAGATGTGTTAATCTCCTAGGTCATGATGGGCCTCAGGGACATCAAGTACTTGATCCCTCACCCCAACCTGCCCATTGTTCCCCTCTTGCATGAGGATGCCTATGGTATATGATTTCCTAATGTAGTTCCTTAGAGTGTTTGTTTTTCCTCTCCATTATTTTTTTTTTAAATAAATGGTCATCAAACATTAATATAACTAATCAAGAACATAGCTATAATTTTTTAATTCGTTATTAATATTTCCAACAAAAAAATAATTAAGTTTACATCCATAAAGTGTTCGCCTAAATAGATTTCCACACTATTTATGCTAGATCTTTTATAAGCTCTTCCTGATGCACAAATCCTCTTTACCACTACCATAATGGCTAAACAGAACCAAAATCTTCTCAATGGATTCCAGAGCATGTCCAAAGCTTTTATGCATATCTAATACATCACAAGTTCACAATTGACTTGACACCGATCAAACTAAAGGTCAAAACTGACTCATATGGTGACACATCAAAATCACAGTTTTGGCAATTTTATATGAGTGAGTTTTCAAGTAGGCTAAATTTTCCTTCTTTGGAACATATCGCCATTCAAGTTTACAAGTTGGTGACTCGCAATTTTAACTAACATATATACATGAATCAAGATGCATGAGCTAAAAAACACGCAAAGAGAGAACATGTTAAGACAACTACAATGTGAAATTTGTGGAACAACAATTACTTTTCCCCCCAAATTTCATATGAAGCACAAACGTTCCTAATATGTATACCTATTTGACCAACATTTGAACAAACTTGTTCACCAGTTTCCCTGTTTCCAACTAACAGTTTGACTATCAATGTAAGTATACCCCACCAATTATCCAAATGAATCAGTAAATATAATAGGACTAGGAAGCCGAATTAGCTCCACCCTTAAGAGTATTCATTTTGTGTACAAGTTTCATGCATAAAAGAGCAACAAATATTCATTTTGAGTCATGGAGAGAACAAGACCATTTTGCACTGATTACTTGGGATAAAAACATAAATACAGTCACAAGACAAGATTACAAGCCTGGAAAACTGACAATAGTTTATAGGTATTACTGAAGAAAAAATTTCTTTTCATGCCATTGTATCTGTATCGTATTTTTGTTCAATCACGGAGGACCATAGTGCTTAAACTGATTAATTTTGATTGTCCACCGTGATTGCTTTGATGCGTATTAATCATTACTTACTATTAGACACCAAAATCCTGGCTCTCCATGATCATCCTTACCAGTGATATACAGTATCAAAATTGTTAGGATATAGAATAAAGGGAATTAGAATAGTTATTAGTTATAAAGATATCATGGGCTAGGCCCATCACATCTATAAATAAGAGGTTACTTGGTAGAGGGGAGGATTCAGATTTGTTCACATTTGTAAATTGAGCATTAGCTCTTTGTTAAAGGAGAAATCCTTTGTGAAGGGGAAACCCTTGGAGGAGATATTTCTCTCCTATTTTTTGTTCTTTTCAACATATTCAATAAAATCTTTCTTTTCTTTCTCTTTCCTAATTCTTAGTTCCTAACAATTGGTCCGACCTGCCGGATCTTCGAGGGAGAGCCAGTGTTACTAGAGATGGAGGAAGCATATATTTGGGTCAAGGGGAAGCTGCCAGTCTTTGTGGGTACAAACCCATTGGGGTGGATTGCTAAGGCTGAGAAATTCTTTGAAGTGCAAGAAATTCATTCTTTCCATAAGTTGCAATATGCTTTCATGAGCATGGAAGGAGTAGCAATGCGGTGGTTCTACTTTTGGAGCCAAAAGAACCCAGATTCTGATTGGGAGTCATTCTCCACATCATTGATCAAAAGATTCTTGAAGCAAGAAAAGAAAAGGGACAAAGAAAGTTTGAAGATCAAGAATTATGGTGGCGAAAAATCTGAGATTAAGAAGAGACTCAATGAGGTTTCAAAGATCAAGAAACTCATTAATGAGATCACAACAAAACATGGGGAAAAAGATAAGCTTCAGGAGGATCTTGATCACCTATTGCAAAAACAGGACTTGACAGAAGACATTGGCACCAGCAACCCAGTTCTGGACAGATTCAAGAAAAATGCAGAAAATACCAAAGGCAGTGAGTCAGATTGCAGAGGTGACCTGGTGCATTCTTGGGAAAAACAAGTTGAGTTACCCACCTTTGATGGAAGCATAGAACAGAGAATTAACATGAAGGGTATCAGTCTAAGGTAACAGTAACCTGTTGCAATTCTTGAAGTTAGAAAACAGAAATAAAGAAGTTTCAATAATCAAGAACAACACTATATGTGGTGGGGAAGACCACTTTCTAGGCGAGCCTTCATCATTAAACATCGTTGCATCTAAGGATGACAACATGACAATGGAGCCTAGGCAAAAGGAAAGTACGAAGGCAACAATTGTGATTCAAGTTATACGAAGTCCACCATCTCCACTACCACCGAAGCCGCCAGACATGGGTTTGTATGCAGTGGCCAAAGGGTTCGTTGCTGATCCATCATGGGTAGACAACAAAGAGACACATTCTGTTAGAGCAAGTGATTTGGCTCTAGAGGATGAGAAAGAGGAAGGGGTAGATTTGGAATTCTACAAAGTGGGTCCAATTGCCCAAACCTATGAAAAAGTAGTTTTTTAGGGGTGTTGTTTCACTTTAGTCCCAACTATAGTGTGTTTTGATGTCATTTTTTTTTTTTGGTTTTCAGATTCCAACCTTGAGGACAAGGTTGATTTTCAAGGGGGTGGTATTGTTAGGATATAGAATAAAGGGAATTAGAATAGTTATTAGTTATAAAGATATCATGGGCTAGGCCCATCACATCTATAAATAAGAGGTTACTTGGTAGAGGAGAGGATTCAGATTTGTTCACATTTGTAAATTGAGCATTAGCTCTTTGTTAAAGGAGAAATCCTTTGTGAAGGGGAAACCCTTGGAGGAGATATTTCTCTCCTATTTTTTGTTCTTTTCAACATATTCAATAAAATCTTTCTTTTCTTTCTCTTTCCTAATTCTTAGTTCCTAACAAAAACTAATGCACCTATACATCAGAGATTACTTTCACAATAGAAGAATCAATATAGATTACTCTACCATATTTCTAGAGATTTAAAAGATATGTGATGGGAAAGTTTACTTCAATTAGTTAAGTAACAGCTCCGAACAACCATCCGGATGTGCACACAGCTCAGTTTATAAAAACATTCCTTAAACCAGGAATGCTTATAATAAGTGCTAACAAAGCATTCACACATAACAACATGTCTTTCACCATATAGCCAGTGTCTCATCACGTATATGAAGACCGAAAGCCAGAAGTTGACAATGAAGCTTATCATAATGTTAGATATCTTAAATCTTCACTCTGTTCCATCAAGATGAATGTATTAAAAAATCGAAAGACAGTGCCACTAATCTATTAGTGACGAAGGGATGTATAAATTGGTTAACCCTCCCTGTTACAACTTACAAGTAGTTAGAAATCCCAAAAAAATTAAAAATGGATTGTGAATCAGAGTCGATAATAGTGAGGTATTGGTTCAGAGGAGAAAGGATATTTTACGAATTACAGGTCAAGGACATAACAGAAACAAACAAAACAAGTAATTCATGAATAAATAAAAGTCAAAATGGCTTAAACGTGAGAAATTCTGAAATTGAAGATTGAAATTGAGAATGATAGTCAGACCTAACTAACCTTGATATTCAGCGGCAATGAGGACACGGCGGAGGAGTTATTGACGGCGGAAAAGAGACAAAAGGATTAAATTGAATCCATGACGGTGATAACATTTCGAAGTCCATTATTCCATAAAACATTTCACAACGAATTTTTTTTATCATAGCCATGTTTCTGTTGAAGAAATCGATTCTAACAAACAGAGAGGGGTTCGTGCTTCGTGATAACGGTATCCAAGTATTTCATATTTTCATTTTATGCATTTTTGTGAAAGATAAAATTATGCATTTTTATGCAGAGAAGTGTGACTTGATATAAATTATAATCCATTAATCCCGAGTTAGATTTTTAGGAAATAAAAAATTATATATATACTTTCATCCTTTCGAGGACTGTTATTAGGGGAAAATCACAAATTTAAATGTAAGAATATTTTTTATTTAATGTGGGAAATGATTTTTTTATGTTAGGTGTGTAATTAAACAAATATCCTCAAAAAAAATATTTTTTATAATGGTTTTTTATTTGTATTTTTATGAAAAAAAAATGTATGAATAGATGGGAATCTATTCTTTTCTGGGAGAAAAAAATTAATGATATGAAAATATCATAATATTTTTATTAACTCACTTTATATATTTATATAAAGTTTTGAAATATTTGTTATTAAGTATAATAAATAACTAAAATTAGGAATAAAAAATACAATTAGATATTTTTTTAATATATTTATTCTCTATTTATATAAATTAAAATCATTGATTTGAACAGTCATTTCGGATCATTTTATAAATTACAAGAAAATATTTTTATTACATGAATCATTTTGGATCAATTTTGTATAATTGTATTTGGTTATTTTTCACTTTGATTTTCCTACTTCATTCAGGTTGGCTTAGTGGTTGGGATTAAGATAGTATATACTTGTATATAAATTTGAATTTCATTATGATCATTATAATTTTTATTGATAAAAAAGTAAAATAAAAATAAATCACCTTTATAATTTTTTATTTCAAAAAGTAATAAAATTTTGTTTAAAATAATAAAAATTCACTTCTGATAAATAAAAGATATTAAAAAATTAAATAATAAAGTTTTAAAATAGTGTATACGATGAAATTGTTCTTAAAATGATATTTTTTTAAGGGGAAAATATACTTATATATAAGAGAGAAAATTATTAAGGCTAAATACAATGTTGTTTTGATTTCTAGGAAACATATATAAATATTTTTATAATATTTATAGCTAATAAATTTTAAAGTATAAAAAACCTTTCTTCCTATCAAACATTAATTTCCTTAGTTCCTTTTTGTTACTTAAAGTTTTGATTTTTTTTTTTTTTATGTAATTTGATGTTTTATTGTGCATAGTATATTTTGTTCACTCTGGAAATTTAGAACCTTTAATCTATCAATGTTTTCAAACAATAGCAACAGTAATACATCAACTTTTTAAAACTTTTTATTGTATAAAATGATGTCTACACAAAATTTCTTTGTCTAATGCTCTTGTACGTGTCAAGTTTCATCCACCCAAAATGCATAGGGAACATAACAGGTCTATGTAAACAGCAGAATAAAGATTCTGTGTATGGCTGATACATTCCGCATTGACAAAGAACTCTTCAATCAGTAGGTGCTGAATTTGGCACCCAAAAAGTTGTGCATACACAAATAGAAACTCGCATTTTGCAAAATATGTGTGAAGCATTGACGATTATGGTATGGTAGTAAGATGAAATTAAGCAGGAATTTGATACTGCAGAAATTATGAAGAAACGAACATTTTAGCAGCCAGACAAAATGAGACCCTTTTTGCAGATAAACTAGTGGGTATCCACAAAGTTAAGCCACAAATTCAATTGATTCGTAAGAAGTGGTTACTCTCTTTC